CTGATACTTTCCTTAAATTTAAGTTGCGAAAAATGACCAAAATTATAATTTTTATGAAATAAAATACCAGGCCAGCAGGAAAAATAGGAAGCAACTTTTTATTTTTAATTTTCTGAAATTTACTTTAAATGGTTCATGATCACCTGTTACTTTCCCTAAAATTTGAAGTTTGCAAAAATGACCAAAATTGTAATTCTTATAAAAAAAAATACCAGGCCAGCAGGAAAAATAGGAAGCAACTTTTTATTTTTAATTTTCTGAAATTTACTTTAAATGGTTCATGATCACCTGATACTTTCCCTAAAATTTGAAGTTTGCAAAAATTACCAAAATTGTAATTCTTATAAAAAAAAATACCAGGCCAGCAGGAAAAATAGGAAGCAACTTTTTATTTTTAATTTTCTGAAATTTACTTTAAATGGTTCATGATCACCTGTTACTTTCCATAAAATTTAAGTTGGGAAAAATGACCAAAATTATAATTCTTATCAAAAAAAATACCAGGCCAGCAGGAAAAATAGGAAGCAACTTTTTATTTTTAATTTTCTGAAATTTAATTTAAATGGTTCATGATCACCTTTTACTTTCCCTAAAATTTAAGTTGGGAAAAATGATCAAAATTATAATTTTATGAAATAAAATACCAGGCCCGCAGGAAAAATAGGAAGCAAGTTTTTATTTTTAATTTTCTGAAATTTACTTTAAATGGTCCATGATCTCCTGTTACTTTTTTTAAATTTAAGTTGGGAAAAATGACCAAAATTATAATTTTTATGAAATAAAATACCAGGCCAGCAGGAAAAATAGGAAGCAACTTTTTATTTTTAATTTTCTGAAATTTACTTTAAATGGTTCATGATCGCCTGTTACTTTCCCTAAAATATGAAGTTTGCAAAATTAACCAAAACTATAATTTTTATCAAATAAAATACCAGGCCAGCAGGAAAAATAGGAAGCCACTTTTTATTTTTAATTTTCTGAAATTTACTTTAAATGGTCCATGATCTCCTGTTACTTTCCCTAAAATTTAATGTTTGCAAAGATGACCAAAACTATAATTTTATGAAATAAAATACCAGGCCAGCATGAAAAATAAGAAGCAAGTTTTTATTTTTAATTTTCTGAAATTTACTTTAAATGGTTCATGATCGCCTATTACTTTTCTTAAATTTAAGTTGGGAAAAATGATCAAAATTATAATTTTATGAAATAAAATACCAGGCCCGCAGGAAAAATAGGAAGCAACTTTTTATTTTTAATTTTCTGAAATTTACTTTAAATGGTTCATGATCGCCTGTTACTTTCCCTAAAATATGAAGTTTGCAAAATTAACCAAAACTATAATTTTTATCAAATAAAATACCAGGCCAGCAGGAAAAATAGGAAGCCACTTTTTATTTTTAATTTTCTGAAATTTACTTTAAATGGTCCATGATCTCCTGTTACTTTCCCTAAAATTTAAAGTTTGCAAAGATGACCAAAACTATAATTTTATGAAATAAAATACCAGGCCAGCATGAAAAATAGGAAGCAAGTTTTTATTTTTAATTTTCTGAAATTTACTTTAAATGGTTCATGATCGCCTATTACTTTCCCTAAAATTTGAAGTTTGCAAAAATGACCAAAATTGTAATTCTTATAAAAAAAAATACCAGGCCAGCAGGAAAAATAGGAAGTAATTTTTTATTTTTAATTTTCTGAAATTTACTTTAAATGGTCCATGATCGCCTGTTACTTTCCCTAAAATTTGAAGTTTGCTAAAATGACCGAAATTGTCAATTTTCTTTTTAATTTTCTGAAATTTATTTTCTATTTACAATACATTCATTAAAATTGAAATTCATGTCATGTTCTTTTTGAGAATTTTTCTCATTGGTGTATTTTCGTACAAATTGCTTGCCGAGCAAAATCCAATTTTACACATTTTTTATATACATAACGTATTTATATGTAAAAATGTCACTTTTTGTTCAAAAAGGGTTTTCAACTTTATATTTGTCCTGGCATAATTATAAAAAAGGAAAATTATTGGGTGTATTTAATTCTCACAGTGAGATGTGTATATAATACATTTAAAAAAAAATTTTAATTCTCATTTCTTTAAGAAACATGTGCTCGGAACGAATCATCAACTTACCTGTAAAAAAAATTAATGTCGATTGGGAACTCTTTGTTGCCAGGCCGATACCAAATATGTGTGTATTTATATTTTTGTGAAGTAAAAATATAGATTCCATTTTTGTTCAGTAGGCTCGAGAACGAATCATATTTGCACTACTCTTTCGCTCATCCTCTACTGATCAGATCAGAATTGTATGAACTACCTTTGAAATTATAATCAAATTTATTCCAAAATACTTTTTATATTAAACTCAAAATTAATTAAAGTTTTAAAACACCAATATTTACCATAATAAATAAGATTATGTAATTTATAAATTAATATTAAAATAATGTAAAATTCATATAAAAATCATTTTGAAATAAGATGAAAAATCATACATCCCTATACATATAAGATAACTTGCGTAATTTTTTATATTAATTATTTGTACATAATATACATCACATATGCATGTACATATAGTAGTATATATATATATTGTTATGCCCAATGTTTTTATTTAGTGAAAAGATTTTCTTTTTGGTTTTGTACCTTCTTCTTAAATATTAATATACGTATATTCGTGTATGTAACACAGGTGTACAATAATGTAATGTATTAAATGTCCCTTCCATTAAATTCTATATATGTACACGAGTTCATCATTAAAATTAAATTTAATATCATTTGATTAAGTTGGATACACATCGACTTATCAATTATAATAAAAGCGCCCAAAATGTTTATTAACTTTGTTTCTCTTCGTCGGAAAGGTCTGAGTGACATTTTTGAGTGATTTTCTTGACGACTTTTTTCGATACTGTTCTAGTCTTCTTTAGCTGGAATTTTTTTCAAGGGATTTTTTTGAGTGGTTTTTTTGATCTTGACTTTTTGGTAATTGTTCTAATAAAAATAATAAATAAAAATAGAAAAAAATAACAACAAAATTTCATAATGCAACTCAGTGCCATATTTCATTATAATCTTATAATAAAAATCTACCTATATTATAATTAACAATGTCCCGGTGTGACAGTGTCACAATGTACAAAAAATGGGGGGTGGGTTGGGAGTAATATCGTTACGACGGAGTTTTACTAGTTATTAGATAAAATAGTATGCTTAATAATTATAGTATAATAATTTTAAAATATAAGCAAAATGAATTGTGTATTATTAAAACCATAATTTATGTAATTTTAATGTCAACGAGGTGGGGAGGGAAGCGGCGGTGTGTTTCTGTACAGTTTTAAATTCAAAGGTATACAATCTCTTTCCAGGGATAATAACGTTTCAAAAATATATAGCTAATTGTTAAAATTTATACTAGTATTTTACTATAATATTAAAATATTTGTTAAAAATAATAATTCATAACTCTATATATAAAAGTATATAATTGAGGAATTGAATTATTTTCTATCCAAGTATTTACTCAGCTATGCCATTTATATTTAATAATAATAATATTAAATACAAACTTTTATCTATGCACAATAAGTGTGCACAAGTAATATGCATATACACATAAAAGTGTATTCATTTGGGTCAAACCAATCGTTTGTAAAGCAGCGCTTTTCCCTTCAATAAGTTAAAATTTTGATTTTAAAAAAAATCTACATTATTAAAATGCTACGTTATGTACATTATTAAAAATACTTTTATTCATACACGAATATGTTTCAAAAATTGCATACATTTAGGATAAGCACTGGTCCATTTGCATATTATGCGATCTTTGAAATAAAACAAAAAAAAATTGAAATAGGTTTTAATAAAATGCTCGAATTTAAGGGTTAAATGTGTGAGTTACGACAAACAATTATATTTTTTGATATTCACTGTTAGCTTTCTGCATATATATAAGTTTGGAAAAGCTTACAGTTTTGGAAATACAAGGTGCCCAAAATTCAAATGTTTCAAATTTCGACGGGCGATAACTTGAGAAGGGGTGGAGGCGGAAAAAATGTTTTTTCTAACGAAATGAACTATGTATTAAGTGCCTAAAAGTTGCTAAAGTTTCAAACTCTATAGCATGAGGTCCAAAAGGAAAACGATATTAAAAATTTGAAAAAAAAAAAACAGATTTTAGAGAACGGTAAATTTTAACGGTATTTTTGGTTTGTTTATAATTTAATTATGCTATTGCTCGGTAGAAGCTTGCCACTACTTTTTTGTCTTCGCAGAGTTTAAAAAATGTTTGTGGTTTAAAAAATTTTGTGTTAAAAAATGGCATTTTTAGGGCTATAGGTTTCTGAGGTGGGGAAATAGGTAAAAATTTTCTTCTACGGAAAATAAGTTTCTATCTTCAAGGGTGTAGAAATTTTGTAAACAGGCACACGGACAGACGAACGGACGGACCGAGTGAAACTAATAAGCAGTTTTTCCCAAAATACTTTTTTGGAAAAGTGCTAAAAATTATGTGATTACTAATGTATGTTACGCTTAAAATAATTTAAGTGTAACAGTTTTCCCTATCTTAATATTTTTATTATATTAAAATATAAAATATAAAAATTTTTGATTTCATTTCAGTGTTAACCTTTTAATAAATATATTCAAAAAAAAATTGTAATCCCGGGAGAAAAAAAGAAAAAATTAAATTAAAATTTATTTTAAAAAAAAAACAAAAATCAAATTGAAATTTTCTGTTATATTAGTTTAAGTTGTGTGTGTGTGTGCATTTTTGATCTCTTGATTTAAAGATTTATTTTTTAAAAAGAAAATGTTAAAATTTGTGGTATGTACTTTTTGAATATTGTTAAAAAAATAAATTCGACAATAATTAATTTAAACTACTCGTATAATAATTTTTTAGAAAATTATAAATTCATGGATTCCCGGCTTCGTCAATATAACAGTTACATATACATATATACATACTTAATATTCATTAAGTATTCTTTAGATTTTGTTAGTTTGTTTTTGTGATATTACCATTTATGCCTGTCAACTCTATAGAAATTGTTTTAGGAAACCATATAACAGTTTCCTATTAATTGTTATTATAATTCAATTTCTTAATTATGTACATTTTATACAATATTCTTGACCTCCAAAATTTAATAATACGGTATCAATATACAATTCGGCTTATAAATGTAAATTACTGAATTTTGTCAAGATATAATGTTATATAATTTTGATGTAAGGTTTTACTCTGAAGATTATTTATTTAAAAATAAATAATGCTGAATATTGATTATAACATTTATAAAATCCCTATATAGATATTAAAATTAAACAATATTCAGTATATAGATTTTATATAATTACTGTACAATTCTCTTCTTAAAAATCTCATCATAAACGCAAATTTTTAATTATATTTGCATTTTAATATATTAAATATATTTTAAATTTTTTATAAATTCTATATCTAATTTTTCGTTTCATTTTTACATGTATACAAGACTTTCGAAATTTTCATAATTTATATAAATTACGTGATTGCACGACCTGAATTACCACCCCCATCATCATCTTCATCTTCATCATCATCATCATATCAATATAATTCTATAATATCATCAACACAAGCAAGCAGTTATCTTCCACCGTCTTCATCATCATCATCATCAGCTGGAGCAAGTTATGGCCCCCCAGTACAAGCACCAATAATACATAAACATGTTTATGTACATGTTTCACCAAATGAACCAGAACATCAACCAGCAAGGTATACATAAATATATATATAATAGATTTGTTCCCTCTCATATTTTCTTTAACCAATTTCTAAATCTTACCTACCAAAGCCTACCTCTTCTTTCTTAAATTGTGTGTTTCTCTTGTTTCGCGCAGCACCTTTATAAAAAAACATAGATAAAGAGGCATACAGTATTGTTAAAAGTTTTTTATTCATACTAAATAATAATTATCAAGTATAATTATTTGGTTTGTGAGCATAGTACACATAATTTTTGATTCCGGTTCCGGTTTTTATTGTAAACCTTACATATATGTATATATGTTTTATATATTATGTAATGTTAATATTATTTAATCATATTTTATATAGTTCTTTGACAAAATAATTATATTTCTACTTATCTACAAGTTGTTTTTGATGTGTTACGGTCTCTTAAACTTTTTAAATTTTCTCATTGTTTTTATTTACCTTTCTTTTATATTGTTTTTTTTTCTTATTTGCTCTGTTATATTATGAAATTTGAAACTTTTACCTACATTAAATTACATAATTATATGCGAATAATATGCTATATTTATGTGACATACTATAAAAATGTATACACATATATAATTATAATTATTTATTATGTTATATATATATACAGAATATATACATTATACAGAATTAACGAGTAAAAGTATGTATAAAATATTATATCGTTATACAGGGTATTTTGCATAAGGTGGAAAATAATTTCAGCGATAATTCTTTGATCAGCAAAAAATTGTATGGGTGGGCGGTGCAGATATACTCTTTTTCGATCTACAGCCTGTTGAAAAAAAGATACCGGACTTTTCCTGTGTTTAAATAAATTCTTGTAACTTCGGAACCATATAACATAGAGTTATCATTGTGAGCTTATTTTACAGGCGATTTATTGTTCTATATTTCTAGTCTCTCAATTAATCTGATTTGAGCCATAGTTTTCGAGATGCAGCTCGTCAATGTCAAATAAAACCCCCGAATACAATTTTTTGCTGGAAATTTATCAAAGAATCATCCCTGAAATTATTTCCCACCATATGCTAAACACCCTGTATAATATTCAATTATGTACAACAAGAAAAACTTTCTTATATAATATCTGTACATATTTATTTATGAATTTTATTTCCTTAATCTCTTATTATTTTTTTACAATATCATTTTAATCAGAATGATTTTTTTTTTGTATAACAGAAGTTAATAATTATTATTATATAATAATATGTTGATTATCATGAAAGGGAAAGGAAGAATTTAACTTACTTCGCACAATAAAATTTTAATTAAATAAAATAATGTAAAATTTATGTTTAGATATTTATGCCCTTAAAAGGTATATGAATAACACTTTCAGTTAATATATACATACATATGTATATAAAAAAGTTAATTGAACGATATAAATAAAAAATCGTAATTTTTTAATTACTTATTTGATTTGACAGATATCTTTTAATAATTTTTGTATGAAAAACATAAAATGTCAGAAGTTTTAACTGTTATATTGTATAACAGAATTGCATAATTAGCGTTAGGGTTTTTTATCGAAGAACTGCAAATTTGTAGTATTCGATTTTGACGTACTGTTTTGCAGCATGATCTGTCGGTTATGCTGCAAGTAAAATTTTAAAAAAGCTTTAGCATATGAGCAGTTTAAAAAAATTCATTGCTCAAAAATGTCGGATTTAAGATTTAATTTATTAAAGTAAATTTTTGAGTTAATTTGAAATAATACCGAAAACAGTCCTCTAGGCTTTTAATTTTTTTTTGTCACGTCGCGAAATGTGATGTGTAATAAAGAAAATTAAGAAAATGAATTTTCCATAAACTCGATTAAAATTGGAAATTTCGGCCGATTGTTTACTTTTACACTGAAATTAATAAAATTACTCAATATTAACATATCTAATTCCATCTATTTTTGTTCTATTTTCTTTAAACTTAATTTTTCAACAACTCTTAAATGTCTGTCGACAACAAAATATACGCACAACTAAATGTGGCAAAAAATGTGACAATTTTCAAAAATTCATCTAGTAGAATAACATTACGGACACCTTTTGTGACAAATAGTGAGACGCGCATTTAGTAGAATACCAAATCTGTCACCTCACACATTTTCATTTGTATGCGGACGCGTTTAGTAGAATAAGACTGAATATTTATATATACAAAATACAAAATATTATGTAATATTAACAAAATCTTCAACTGCAATACCACTGTATTTATATTATCTATACAAACATACTATAAACCTATATAAATCTATATTAAAAATTCGTATAAAGGAAGCGTCTCAGTTATGCATTATACTCCTATGTACTTTCTTAAAAAGAGGAAATATATAAAGGTGTATCTGTATATGATCAAATAAATCAAGGGGGGAGAGAGTAGAAAATTTATGAATATTTATTAATTTATTATTTATTAAAATAAAAATTATTATATTTTGATTATATTATAAAATTTTTTTAAGGAAACCAATTGTTTTACCACCGCCACAAAAACATTATAAAATTGTATTTATAAAAGCACCATCACCTCCAATACCAACATCACCGGTTATACCAATAGTACCACAAAGTGAAGAAAAAACTTTAGTTTATGTACTTGTTAAAAAACCAGATGAACAACCGGATATAATAATACCAACCTTAGCACCAACACAACCAAGCAAACCGGAAGTGTATTTTATAAGATATAAAACACAAAAGCAATCAGTACAAAGTATTGAAAGTGGCGGTACATATCCAAATAGTATATCACCGTTACCATCTGGTGATTATGGAGCACCAATTGATCATAGCAGTTAAAAATTGGGTGTTCTTTTTGTTTCCATCCAAAACTATTGTATTATTGATTATTTTTTTAATATATTATATCAAAACTTTACACTTATACATATAATAATAAAAATATATGAAATATAGTTCTGTTTATATTTTGTTATTTTTTACATATATATATATATATATATATATATATATATATATATATATATATATATGTTTGTTTATATGCATATATATATATATAATATACATATGCATATGCATCAGAGTATGAAAAGTATGAAAAATTTGAAATTTTAACTTTTCATTTCTAAAAAACGTTCATTTTCCAGGTGACGTAACATTGGAACTTTTTTCAATTTTAGCATAGCTGGCAATCTTGTCTACTGACCTTTAATTTGCTACTTGGGTCATCTTTCTACTCATTCTGGGTTATTAGTTATAGAGAAAAATATATTTTTCTTCAATGATTTAGAAAAATTTACAACAGTTCAAAATGGTAAATCCCTCACATTTACAAAGTTGAATGGCCGGGAGAATATCATTAATTTGTTTATCAAAAACCCCTTTATTCTGAGGTTTTCAAATCATATTTGACAATGTGGATGTTTTACAGAAAGTTTTTCTTGTAACTTCGAGCTTTTGTTATCTATTGAGGTGTGAACGTCGTCTCTCTACAAAAGTTTTGTCTACTTATGAGGAAATACACAATGGTAAACAGCAATGCACTTTGATATGACACACCCTGTATATATTTATATATATATATATACATATATATACATAATGAAATAAAAATAATAAAAATAATGAATAGTTTAAAGATCATATTTATCGTTTTTTTTATAATATTTCAATATCCCCTTGATTTAATGTTACCCGGCTCTTTACTTTATAAAACTGAACAAATTCCCGGAGTCAAATGGAGAAGTTAACAATATGAGGTTACAATAAGCCACAAAACAATAACGTATATATTTCATTAAATATCACATGTAAGTCTAGAAAAGTTTTACAGTTCTTATTACATTAAACTATATATATAATAGTTAATTCATTATATAACGTGTAAAATATGTTTTGTATACTTGTATAAGAATTTTAGCCTTAAATATAAAATATGAACCTAATTATACTTAAAATATAAACAAATGACTTAAGTGAGAAACTTAAAAGAAATTTTTTCAAAACAAATTTCAAATTTAAATTTTTGTTAGGAGAAAAGGGAAAAACTTGAATTTTCCTAAAGCTCGAATGCTTGATATTTCGAAAGTATATAAAATACAAAATCAAGCTAGATGTTGATTTTAAGCCCATTACTAGATTTTTCAAAAACTGAAGCCTCTATCATTTTCGAAGCGGAAGGTATAACCAAAACCACTTGGATAAGTAGAAATGTGGAGAAAATTCGTTAAAATCCCTGAAACTTGAAGTTCTTGAGATTTAGCACTTAGTCCTGAACAAAAGTTTTACTTATTTTTGACCCTCTAGCCCCGTGATCCGCAAAGTGGTCTATATAGATCCCCAGGGTCCATAGAGACCCGCTGCTAGGAGTCTACGAAAAAATATGAATTTAGTTCACTAAGTTTTATATTTAACTTTCTCACGTCAAAGAAAGTAGCAGTGGGTCCATCAAAAATTGAAAAACACGACAAGGGGTCTACGATAGAAAAAAGTTTGGGAATCTGTGTTCTTACTAATGGTATTAAATAAAATTACAAATTTAATAAAAATATTAAACTTACCTTTTTGGTGGTCCATTTTTGTATTTATAAAAAATTTTAAATTTAATTTTATTTTGTAAATAAATTTTTCACTCTTTTATATAAATTAAATTTAAAAAAAGCCCTTATAATAAAGATTATACGATTCCTACGTATTTATACATTGCATAAATTTTAAGTCTTAAAGGATCATATCCAATGAAAATGGATGAAAATAACTAGTAGGCCATTTAAATAAAGTTTCCGTAATGCTTGTATTAAATATGTATACTGTATTTCCGCATAAATAATATTCATAAGCTGCTCAAATTGATATATGATGATCCCGATTAGTAATGAAACTGCAATAAAATTCACTTTTCATATTACTTATATAATAAAATCTCCATTTTCGTCATTAAATTCAAGTTCATCAAATGTAAATTGAAAATATTCAGTTAACGTAGATTTACAGTGTTAACGTAGTTAAACAGTGGTGTAATTCTAAAATTCTAATATAATATTGAAAATTAGTATATAATAACAGTAATATAATTAACAACAAATCCAACAAGCACAACAAATAACATATTAGGGATTTTCGTTAACGCATTATATACATATAACGAAAATTACACTATATTTGTGTTCATAAAAAAAATGTGGAGAATCTATTTTCATTATACAATATAGCGCAATATAGCAATATTATAGTATAAATATAGCGCATTTACATCATAGAATTTGTAGTTAAAAATATATTGAATATTCATCATGCTCTTATGCTCTTGCAGCACTGCTTTTCACTTAGTAAATTTGTTTTGCCGCATTTGCTTGTACGAAAATCCCTATTATTGTAATTTTAAGTTTAGCGATAATTTAATGCATTTAGCATTGTGAATAAAACAAAACAATTTTAATTGACCAACATTATTTGATGTAATTTGGTATTTTAGAATGTTATTTAAAATTTTTTTAATTTGTATACAAATTGAATGAAAACAAAATATTTTTTATTTAAAATTTAAAACAACAAAAAAAATAAATATATTTTTTCCAGGTTTTATTTTTTTTTTTTACAAAATTATTTGAAATTTAATTATTTCTTAGGTTTTTTGTTTTTGTTTCAAAACCAAATTACAAACATATTGTATTATAATAATGATTATATAAATTCTTGATAATTACCTTAAAGTAAAAATTTTCTGGTTGTTCAAATTTTGTACAATTGATGATAATAAATTAAATAAATAAATTATAAATATATTAAATAAATAAAACAATTTTAATAAAATAAATTAATTATTAATTAAAAATATCTTCCATAAATATTGACTATAAAAAAAAACGAAAAAATCAAATTAAATAAATTAATTCTTATATGTAAATTACTTATATATAATCCAAAAATGTATTATACAAAAAATCAATATGTATGAAAACTCTTTTCAATACGAAATCTTGACTAAATTGAATCAAACTCCGATATTTCACTACCCTAAAAATAAATAAATGAGAAAACAAATATTCCAAATTAATAATTTTAATTTTGTATACATATACAAGATGTTAAGTTTCAAAATCGCACTAATATTGTATACTGCTATATTATATAAACAATTCAACAATTATAACTCATAAGCTGAATTTAATTTTATGTACAAAGTATATGTATATACAGGTATTACTGTAATTTTGAAATCTAGGCTTGAAACTAATTATATTTTTTTATTCTCTTACTTTATCGGGTTTATATAAATGCGTATGGGGTAGTAAAAATGTTGATCCAATATCTCGTTCAGCCATTGTATTAGCTTCCTAAAAATAAAACAAAAATTATAATAATTTACAATTATTTAATAAATAATATTTAAAAAACAACTATTAAAATAAATTAATCAAATACTGTCTAAATAATAAATTATATATATAATCTAAATGGTAATATAACAATATAACAGTTATATAACACTATTTAGCAATTAATATATATGTTATTTAGATGTAAAAACCTACAAAATTATTTTATATATTTTATATTTAAAATATAAATTGACTAAAATATAATTAGCTTACATCATTTGAATTATGTATTAATTGTTTTTCATAGGCACTTCGGAATGATTTTACTTGTGGTTGAATTGTTGTTTCATCATATGATCGAGCTTCTGATTCTCCCCTTAAAAGAAATTTTTGTTTTTTAAATTCCTAATCATTTAACGATTTAATTAAGAGTAATAGTAACTATTTTATATGTAATTTAAATTTTAATTTAAAGTTATAGTTTAACTATTGGTAATACAATGAAACCTATATGTCTTTTTACAATATTCAGGTATAAGCCTTGTGTAAGACCTGAATTGTTTTATAATACATGTACATAGCATTATGTTTGCAATTCTAATGTAACAGAATACAAATGATTGTATATACATATATAAAATTAAAAAAATACTTACATATCATTTCTTTGTATGGTATCCAACCAATCATCCATAGAATCAAAAAAAAGATCTTGACTAAAAGTAAAAATAAAAAAAAAATAAAATTAGATCCTAGATGAATTAAATTAACTTGTTATCTATTCTATATTATAATTGTATATATATACCTATCATCTTTTTTACAAAAATATTCAAAATTAGCTGAAGGTGTAGTTGATTGCTGTCTTAATCCATTTGTTGTATCAGTATTATATAAATTCAAATCAATAAAATTTCCACCATCATCATAATTATTATTGTTATTTTCACTATTATTATTATTATTATTATTACCATTACTATTATTACTATTATCATTCATATTATTATTATTATTATTATTATTATTATTTTGTGTATTTTTATTATTATGATTATTATTATTATTAATACTATTATAATTACGATAATGATGATGATGATGGTGATAATGATTATTATTATTATTACTTTTTGTATACTGTTGATGATTTCTATTTGCTGTTGTTGTTACTATTATCGTTTCTAATAAATCGACAATATTTAATATAATAAATATATAGAAATAAATAAAGTAAATACATTTACATGTGTATATAAATTTATTTACCATTTTCATGTTGATGCTGTTGTTTTTGTTGTTGCTGCTCTTGATTACCATTACTATTATTATTAATTAAATTTTCTCCAACTGTTGCAGATACCTCAAAACCAGCTGAAACTAATGCACCCGTTGATGTTGTATGTGTAGCACCATGTTTTGAAGAATTTGATGATTTTTTTGATGGATTTGACACCTATATTTTTTTATTATTAATTTACAATTATTATTATATTAAATATGTATTAATATATACTCGTATAGTACCTGAGCCCCTGCATCTAAATAAGCCAAAATTTTACTTTCTAATTCATTTCCAAAATTATTATTAATATTTCCATTATTATTTCCCATATTTGATTCTTCTGTTATTGTTGTATGTTGATGATGTAATGATGAATAATATTTAGCACGTGGTATCATAACAATTAATGATCTATCGTTTTGATCAACAACGTTACATACCCGATGTTGTTGCAAATCATTAATATTTAATTTTTGTTGCTTATGTTGTTGCTGCTGTTGATGATGATGATGATGTTGTTGTTGTTGTTGTAATGATAAATTTGATGTTATTGGATTAAATATTGATGAACAATGCTCAATTAAACGATGATTCACATTATGATTGTCATCAATATCAACAAAATTACAATTATTTGAATTTATAACATTATTATCATCGATATTGATTAATGAATTAATTTGATGTCGTATTGGTCTTTGTTTATATTTTTGATGATGATGATGTGATTGTTGCTGTTGTTGTATACGTTGTTGCTGGTAATTTTTAATATTATAATAATTTGTTCTATTATTTTTTCGACATTGATAATTTTCGTTATTATGCTGCTGTTGTTCTCTAATAAATGAAGATTTCTAAAAAAAAAAAAGATATTTATTTGAAAATTCTTATTTTAAATAATTTAAAATTTATAAAAAAAAAATTTTTTTCCAACTTACTTTTGGAAAATGCATTGAACTATCTGAATTATTGCTTGTTTCACTTGTGGAATCTCTAATCATTGCTCTTTTATCCATACTATTACCTTTTATATTATGATGATTTGTTGTACGACAATTATTACCAATACCTTTTGGTATTGGTAATATGTTTATACCAGACATTATATTTTGTATATTACGTTCTTTACGACGTTTTATATATGTTAAGAATACACATAATATTAATAATAATAATGTTATAATTGCAATTGATATAATTGCTATTAAAAATATTTTTAAATTTAATTGACACATTGAACCGGCATACCATCTAAAACATTCACATAATGGTTGTTCACTATCATCTGGTGTGTAACATGTACCATGATAATTACAATATGAGCAACCTATTAATTCAGCTGAACATAAGCGTCCAGGATACATTGAATTTTCTGATAAATCAGCATAACCTTCACGACAGCTACATGAATATGTTCCATATAAATTAAAACAGTGGGCATTTATTGAACAATCACTATAATGACGATTTGAGCATTCATCAAAATCTATATAAAATAAAATAAGTAAAATATATACATAAATTTTAATTAATACAAAACAATTTACAAACCAACCTGATACTTTTAATTCTTCTACACCAGACTTTGTCGAATATAATTCCGTACCACCAATACTGTAATTATTATGACGTAAATATTTCTTAAAAACATTCATCAATCTGCTATCATCACTGTTATGAGTTAACTAAATAAATAATAAATTTATATATTTTTTTCCTATATAATTGCATTTATCAGGGACAGTAGACATTTTATAGGCAAGGACTATAAAAGATAATCAAGTCTTATTTACCTGTAAATTAAAATGACTTATAACACCATCTTTATTATTTGGTAACTGATATGATTGAACATTAACTCCATGATAAACATCACGAAAATCCGATTGCATTACCATACGATCAAGTGCATCATGTGTTATTTCAGTTAATTTATTATAAAAAATACTTGACGAATCTAAGAGACTATCATCAAATTTAATAATCCTCTTTCCAATACGATATAATGGTAGTGATAATGAATATGTGTATGTTGCTGAAATATGTATATATAAATAAAAATATTAATTTTATTATAAAATTGTGTTCCTGAAGAAGTCAAATTTGTAACATTAAATCTGAATTAAGTAAACGATCTTATATTTTTCATGTATATTTTTAATTACTCTTTACAAAGAACTGCACAAATTATCTGACTTCAAAAATTCAGTTATGTCGGTACAAATACAAAATTCAGCTTATGACTTTTAATTGCTGAATTATGTAAAAATACAGGATTAATGCAATTTTAAAGTCAGAGTTTAAATATTATTTTTATATTTCTGATAATTAAGTGACATAAAATTAAAATAAAGAACTTACGTTTACATGGCCTATCTGGGAATAATCTTATAAAACCTGGACGACATACACATTTCATTACATTATTAATACGCTGACATAATTCATTTTTAGATGGTTTACAATCAGGCCGACATCCAGAATTTAATTTTATATTTATATTATTATTATTATTATTATTATTGTTATTATTATCATTATTATTGTTATTTGTGTTGATATTATTATTATTATTTTTATTGTCATTACGATTATTTGCGTTATAAATATTATTATAATTTATATTATCTTTTAATTTTGGTGGTGATGCTATTAATATACCACCCAATAATATATGATTAACATTATTGCTTTTTAATTCATCATTACGATTAATTGTAATATCGTCATTATCATCATTATTATCATTTGAATTATATTCTACTTTTTCGATATTATGTAATAAATAATTATGATTATTTGCAGAATCAACATCAATTCCATCAATTATTTCTATATTATTATCATCATCATCATCATCATCATTATTATCGTTACTATGGTGATAATTATTATTTAAATTTGATGAGACTGTTGAATTTAAATTTATAATATTATTAGATTTTTTTTGATTTGTCATTACAACAAATATTGATTCATTATCTAAGTGTTGTAATTTTGATGTTAATGTTGATGATGGTGACACTGATGGTGATGGTGAAATTGATGATGATGAAGGTGTTAATAAAGAAGAAGCTGATAATATCACAGATGTTGATGGCAGTGATGAGGATGATGATGATGATGAAGATGATGATGGTGGTAACGTTGATAAGGATGATAATGATGATGTTACAAATGTTGTTGATGTTTTTTCTGTTGTTATTGTTCCTGATAATGAAAATATGTTCGACGATGATGAAATGGTGATTGATGGTGATTTAGTAATGTAGATATGTTTTACTTTTGAAGAATTAATTAAAGTTGATAATTTTGTTGGACGTATTGTTGTAGTTTTTTTATTATCAAAGTTTATTGGGGAAGTTGATAATGATTTTATTGTGGTTGATGGCATTATTGTTTTATATTGTGTATATATTGAAAATGTTGCTTTATTACTTTTAAATTCATTACCTTTATTGTCATTGCTATTTTTATTATCAATTTTATTTTTATCTTTTGTACGATTATTTTCATTATTTTTATTAATATTTTCAATTTGAGTGTGATTTTCAAAATCATCTTCATTATTATTATTTGTATTATTACTATTTATATTATAATTGATAATTGGTATTGTATACGAATTTGTTTTATCATAATTTTTTAATGATTCTGTTGGAATCATATCATAATTATTACTATTATCACTATTTTTATTATTGATATTGTCGTCATTACTGTTATTTACATTTATTATATTATTGGATGGTTGTAATAATATTGTATTTGTAAATGTATCAATATAATCATTATTCTTGTTATTGTTATACATATTATTAATATCGCCATTATTAATTGTTTCTTTTGTATCTGTTATATCATAATAATCAGTTTCTGGGATATATAGCCTTGTTGAAAATATATTATCATTACTATTATCATTGGTCGTTGTATGTGATGTTACAAGATATGTTTTAGTTGTTGTTGCTATTAATGTTTTTGTATTTATTATGTATTTAGTTGATATAGGTAATCTATTTTTATTTGATGTTTGTTTTTGATTTACTTTTTTATTACTATTTATTTTAGTAGATTTATTATTATTAATATCATCAATATTTTTATTATTATTTGTTATAATATCCTTATTTTGAAAATCATTAATTTTATTATATATATTTTTATTATTTTCATCAATATTTTTATTATTCTTAAATTTATTAGTATAGTAATAGTAATTACTTGCATTATAATTATTAGTATCATAGTAATTATTATTGTTATATTTATTTTTTGTTATATAAATCATTGCTGTTGGATTTGTTGTATTTAAACTAGTTATAATTTCAATATCATCATCATTATCTTGATTTTTATTTTGTATGTTATTATAATTATTATTATTGTTATTATTATTATTATTATTATTATTATTATTATTATTATTATTATTATTATCACTATCATTAGTATTTTGTTCATTTGTTATTTTTGTTAATAAATTAATTTCGATCATTGGTTGCTTTTTATCAATTTGTATATTACGTATATTTTCATTATTATTTTTAAAAATATTTGTATATAATTCGTCATTGTTTTTATATTTAATACTTGATGTTGACATCATGTCATTAGTAATTTGTTTATTATTATCATTATTATAATTAATTGAATTATATATTTGATATAAATTTTCTGTTGTTTCACTTAATGTTGTAGGTGATAAAGTTGGTATTGTAAATGTTAATACTATTGAATCACTAATTTTTGATTTATATATTTTTTTAATTGTTGTTGATATTAATGACGGAATTTTTGTTGTTGAAATTATTTTATTTGTCATTATTAATTTATTGGCATTATTATTATTATTGTTATTATTATTATTATCATTATTATTATTATTATTACTGTTATTATTATTTTTATTATTATTATAATTATAATTGTTATTGTTACCGTTGTAATAATTACGACGCGTTGGTGAAAATTTAATTTTTGGAATTGATTTTGTTGTTGTAAATATAAAAGTTTTTATTTTTGTGCTATTATAATTATTATTTTTGGAGTTTAAATATAATGAAGAACTTGTTGGTATAAAATTTGGTTTTTTAGTTGTTGTTAAAATAATAGATGGCAAGTTTATTGTTGATGATAAAAATTTTTGTTGTGGTAACATAAAACCATTATTTTTTATATTATTTATCAATGAAATATTACTATGTGTATTTTTATTTGTGACATCTTTATAATTATATGAAGGATAATTACCATATATATTTTTATTAATATTTATATATTTTCTATTATTATTATTATTATTATTATTATTATTATAACTATTGTTATATGGGAAAAAGTTTTTATAAATATTTTTGTTATTACCATTGCCGTTGTTGTTGTTAAACCAATCTAAATTATGCATCGTGTTGTTTGGTTTTATTGTTGATATTGGATATGTTATTGAAATATTGTTAATATTATTATTATATAATGTTGAAAAATTAGTTGTATTGTAATATGAATATGGAAATTTATTACTATCATTTGAATATTTTAAATTTTTATTTAATGATGGTGGTGGAGGTGATAATGATTGTGATAATATTGATGATTCTATTGATGGAAATAGTAATGATGACGATGATGATGATGATGATGATGATGATGACGATGATGATGATGATGATGACGACGATGAAGATGATAATGATGATGATGATGACGATGATGACGATGACGAGGATGATGATGGTGATGATGATGATGATGACGGTGAATTAAATAATAAATTATTTGATATAATTGGTAAATTTGATTTTAATGTTGATTTTATTATATATGGTGTTGTTGTTGGAATTGTTGTTGATGATATTGTATTAGTTATTGATGATAATGTAGTTGACAATAATGAATATTTTTGTTTTGTTGGTATTAATAATGGTGGTGGGTTTAAGCCCATAACTTTTTCAGTTTTTCTTAATATTTGCTGATTTAATAATAATGGTGGTGGTCTCATGCTATTTAATGATTCCTCATCATAATTTTGTACATTATGTTGATAATAACTCTGAATGGGTATTTTGTTTCTTAATATATTCAATCTTGGTGTATAATTACGTATTTTATGTTGTTGTTTATCTGTAGTAATATATGGTACTGTTGATAATGATAAATTATTACTATTATTATTATTTATATTTGATAATGTTGATAATTGTCGATTTAAATTTAATTTAACATTATTATTAATAATAATATCATTATTTATATTTTTAATAATATCATTTATAATTTTATTTTTAAAATTAGTACCATTTATAATTTTTGTATTATAAATTGTTGAATTCATAAACTTATTATTTTCATTTTGGCTATCATCGCTATCATTTCTTGAATGTAAACTAAATGGAGTTGGAGACTGTAATGTTGGACTAATAATTATATCATAATTATTATGTAAATTATTTGTTTCATGATAATCTAAAATTTCATTTGATTCATTTTTTTTAGTGTCATTAGCATTTGCACTGTGATTATTTTTATTAATTTTATTATCATTAAAAATATTTATTTTAATACTATTACTATCATTATTAGTATCATTGTTATTATTAATATTGTTTTTATTATTATTATTATTAATGTCATTACTGTGAATAATATTATTACTTCCAACAATAATATTTGCAGTAGTAGCATTATTATAGTTTATTTCATTACTATCAATATTTTCAGTTGAATTTTTTTCTATAAATTTTTCATTTATGCTATTGGTAGTTATATTTGTACTATTATTGTAATCTTTGTTAATATTATTCAATTTACTTTTTGTTATTATACTTATATTAATTGGATTCTTGGTTGTTATTACTCCTGATTGTTTCTTGTACTCTAATGGTATTATTGATGTTATTCTTGTTGATTTTGGTAGAATGAATGAATGAATCGTTGGTTTTTGAGTTACTATATTATTTATACCTTGTTTTATTAATGGATTAGCAGTAATTGTATGTCTATTTTGATTATAATTATTGTTATTGTAATTGTCATTATTATTGTTTTGACTATCATCATTATCAGAAATTTGTAAATTATTTGATAGTGTAAAATTATTCATAATATTATTATCAATATTGTTATGTAAATTACTGTAAAATAAATTTAAAGAAGTTTTTGTTGATAACTTGGTAGTTGATGATGATGGAGTTGATGTTAAAGTTGATGCAATTAATTTTTTTATTGTTGAATTCTTTTCTTTTGTTGTTTTTGGATTATTTGTTGTGATTATTTTCTTTGATTTACTTATTGTTGACGGTAATATTTGCTTAGTAGATGATGTTTTTATTGTTGGTGTAATTGTTGATTTTGAAAATAATACACCTGTATGTAATATTGATGATTTTGTTGTTGATGAAGTTTTTGGTGATACCGTGATTAATTTTGTTTTAGATTTGGTTGCTGTTGTTAATTGCGGAACTGTTGGAGTTGCAGTTGTTGTTTCTATTAACGATTTTTTGAATTTTTCTCCAATAATTACAAAATTTGATAAAAATTTATTATTTGTTGTTGATATTGTTGATGTTGAATATGATGTTGAGTGATTAATTTTCGGTTTTATTGTTGATTTTGTAACAAATGGTTGACCACGTAATAATTGCATATTATTATCATTATTATTATAAATTTTTTTTGTATTCATTGGATATGTTTGTATTGGATTTAATGATAATGATGTTGACGATATTTGCGGGGATATTTTTATTTCAAATAAATCATCATTTATATTATATAATTTATATAATGATTGATTATTATAATTAATAATTTTATTATTATTATTATTATTATTATTATTATTATTATTATTATTATTATTATTATTATTATTATTATTATTATTATTATTATTGTTATTATTACTGTTTATTAAATCATTAATAATTTTATTATTCATTAATGGTTTTTTTGTTGTTGTTATTTTTGTGGAGTTTAATTGCATGTAATTTAAAGAATTTTTTTTTTGTGGTAATTCTAATAGTGTTGATGTTATTAATGGCAATGTTACTAATGATGTTGATTTTGATAATAATGAAGACGGTGGTGGTGGTGGTGATAATAAAGGTGATATTGCTAATGATGATGATTTTAATATATTAGTATTACTACTATCATTATTATTATTACTACTACTATCATTATTATTATTATTAACGTTAAAATAATCACTATTTAGATTAATATTTTCATATTTTAATGTTGCGTTAATTTTCTTATTAAAATATTGTTCTTCTGGTATATACAATAATGAATTTGATTCTTGTACAACTTCACCATTTTCATTTTCAAAATCATCAATATCAATATCGTCCTCATTATTATGATCATTATTGTTATTATTACTATCATTATAATCTTTATTTTTATTTTTGTTATAATAATAATTATTATTTTCATTATTATTATTATTAGCATTATTAATATTATCATAAATATTTTCATTAATTTTAATATTACTAAAATGATTATCATGATTATTATTGTTCTGGGTATTATTATTTAGAGAATTAACAGAATTAATGCATAAGCATGAATCAATAACTGGTGATGGTATAATACGTTTATTATTTTCATAATAATTATTATTATTATTGTTATTATGGTAATATTTATAACCATAAACATCACTTATTCTAGAAGTTATAATTTTTTTTTGTTTTGGATGATGATATAATAATTCATGTTGTGAATGTTGTTGTTGGTGTTGTACATGTTGCTGTTGTTGTGACTCTGGTTGATAATGTTGATTGTGTTGAAATAAATTATTATATTTCATTGAATTATATGGATAATGTGGTTGAGTTTTTAATATAAATGAATTATTATTATTTCTATTATTATTGTTAATATTATTATAATTATTATTGTTATTATTATTATTAATCTTAATATTGCTATTATAATAACCTAAATGTAATGTTGTGCCAACCGGTAATAAATGATTTCGATCATTATCATATGTTCCTAATTCTGATGGTATATATGGAGATGAAGATTTTAATGTTGATGAAGATGGCGATGATATTGATGGTAAATTATTTGAATTAATTGGAAATTTTTGGTGTATTGTTGATGAAATGATTGTATCATTTTTATGAGAATGTAAAATATTTTGGTTGTTATTATTATTATTATTATTATTATTTATATTGAATTTAGTATGTGGTGTTTTTTGTTTTGTATGATAGAATGGTTGTTGTTGATTATAATATGGAAGATGTTTATTTGTTAATGTATGTTGTTGATGTTGATGATGTTGTTGTTGTTGTTGCTGTTGTTGATATATAATATGTTGATCATAGTATGTAGGTGATAATGGAATATCTGTGAATATATATATATATATTGTACATATATTTATATATATACATATACTTTTTTTCATATAAAAATGCTTGTCTCCAATAATTACGATAATATTTTGTTTTATTTGATATATACAATTCAGCAATTAGAAATTATAAAGTGTGAATTTTTTATTGAAAGCCAATATTAATTGCAATTTTAAAACCAGAAAATCTATATTTAATATATTTATATCAAAATATTTGAAATTTAAATATTTTAATTAATATAGCACTTTTATATGAAAATACAAATCTAATGTCAACTTGACTTATTCATTAATACAATTTTTTTGATTGTTATGAATGCTATGAGTCAATTAAGTCGTCGTTAGACAGAAGCTATTGTTAAAGGCGTTTGCTTGTTTATATATATGAAATATAGATATATAAAAATTATATATACATAGTATACTGTTAAAATAAAATACATACACTTACATTTATATTTTATTGAAATAAAATTCAAAAAGCTGTTATATTTTGTAATATTTAAGTTTTAAAGAGTTCCGATATAATACATGAATATTTACAAAAACTTTTTAATACTTCATATAACAGTTATCACTTCATATTTACATAAAAGTATATTGTAAATTTTTTAAATGATATATATTACACTAAATGACAAATGTTATACTTAACAGCAGCCACCTAAAAAGTATTTTATAAAACAAATTTTTAAAAAAATAAAAATATAAAACTTTTTTTATTTAAATTTTTCATTTAATAAGAAGTTTTAAGAAAATTACAGTTAAAATATGAAAGTACAATAATTACCGAAACTTATGCTCTTTCGACTTTAGTAAATTCTTATATGTAATGTTATAGTAAAATTTATTGGAACGGCATGCATAATACTTACGTTTTTGTTTTAGGCTCGTAAATAATACAAGCTGAGTTAGATTTATTAGAGATCATCAAGAGAGAGCTTTAATTTAAATTGGAGGCTTTTAGGGCGTTTTATATAAGTATATATTTTCTCATAATATTTAATACGATTACTCTAATTTCATAGTTTGAAAGGAGAGAAAAAAAAAGAAAAACAATATTATAATTTTTTTTTGTTGTTTTACTTTTTTTTTGTTTGTTTAATCTATGGCTAAAATGATTACACTTTTTTGATCATTAATCCTCATATACATCATTTTCTTATATAATATTTTTCTTACAAATCTAATGAAATAGAGTATATATATAAAATATATGGAAATGTTAGTTACATATATATAATTTATTTATATATAATATATTTTTAAAACATTACTATGTAAATATTTATTTAATTACATAATGGATAATATACAAGGTGATTCACAAAAGCTGTATAATTATATATAACATTGGCTAGAGCAGTAATTCCCAAAGTGGTCTATATAGACCCGCAGGGGTCCATGAAGACCTGCTAGGGGTCTACAAAAAAATATGAATTTAATTAAATAAGTATTAAGGGGGTCAAAAACACGACGAGGGGTCTACGAGGGGGAAAAGTTTGGGAACCTCTGGACTAAAAGTTTTGTTTCGGAATAGGTGCGAAATCTCAACGGTTTACAAATTGCAGGGATTTTAACGAATTTTCTAAACATTTCCACTTATCCAAGTGATTATAACTTTCGCTCCGAAAAAGATAGGAGCTTCAAACAAAGAATGAATTTCTGAAAGCACAAATAAAGGGCTTAAACTCAAAATGTTACTTTATTTTGCATTTTATGTGCTTTCGGATTATCAAGCATTCGAACTCTGGGAAAAGGCAAATTTTTACTCTTTTTATTATTTTTTTAGTTTTCTCTAATCCGAGATCTTAATTAAAGCTTAAGTAATTCGATAAAATTCCTTTCCTTATTTGTACACAAAGTGTTACCTACTTTTGACACTCTAACCAATGGTATATATTGTTGTATACCTTTCTAAATCATCCAGTGTATATATACATATATATATATATCCCTTTCAGATATATATATATATCAGATATTTCTGAACTAATCAAAAGTATTTTGTTAGAATATATTTGATAATATATTAGAGTAATATATTTTATGCAGTATTGCCGTAATATATGTTATTTATGAAAAATTCAGCTTATAGTTGCAATTACTGAATTTTGTATTTATATCGTGTGATTACAATTTAGTAAAATTAGGAAATATGAAAGTTAATTAAAAAAAAATATATTAAATTCAGTAATAATAGAGTAGATAAGTCTCAAAGTGTTTACGGTATCCCCATATATAGAGGATGCTGTATATAATACATTTTTTTATAGAGTTACAACCTTGTTACTATAAGTATATACAACAGTTTTATTAATTTTGTGATTAAATTTTCTTTCTTTAGAAAAACTTAATAGAAAGCTATCAAAAAAATAACTCATTTATTTTTAGTTTTTTTAAATATTAAACAATTAGTTCAGAATTTTTTTTTATAATTTAAACTAAGAAATAATAAAAATTATAATAAAAAATAAAAAATTATATAAAATTAAATTTTCTATGACAGTTTTAACAATTTTCATATATTTTTTTTCTTTTTTTTTTCTTTTATAATTAAAAACAAAACAATTTTTTTACAATCCTAAATATTAAGTATATATATATATTTTATAATGCAATTATACATGTAAATGTATTTATATCATATGATTGTTATATAATTAAATATAAATACAGTATAATAATTTTATTATCGAATATAAAAAATATTTTTTCAAAATTAATTATTTAATAATTTTCATTAAAACAAAAAACAAAAACACAAAATAATAGGGTGTCTACCAAAATGCAGATCTATCATCAAATTGACTTATTCTTAGTAATTAAAACAGTATTGCTGAATAAGCCAAGCTTTGATGTTAGATCATGCATTTTGGTAAACGCCCATAGCTTACAAAAAAAAAAAAACATTTATATATTCTCTGATTTCAAAATTTTGAATAATACGGGGTGGTCTTAATACACAATCCATCTTATATGATTTGCGGATTAAAACTTGCAATTTTCAAATCAGGGAATAATAATATTGTCCCTGATTAACATCTAATATTTATACAAAAAACATTATACAAAATTTTACAGATTAACTAATTATTATACAAAAAAAAAAAATTTTACGAGTATTTTTTTTTGTAATCATTATAATAAGGTATAAAAGAACTTTACAAAATTTATTAATTTTATTAAATTTATAGATATCAAGGTTAATTGACACCAAAAATTTTATAATACAATATTAATAAACAATTCAGCAAATACAATTCATTAGCTGAATTGTATATTAGTAATATATTAAGTATACTAGATAAACTATTTCGAAATCAAGAATATATATCTATGCTACATACACATAATATTATAACATATATTATATACAGGTATTTGTAATTTGTTTTTCATATATAAATATATATACATATTTATTATCCCTGACATCTGAATTGTAATAATACCGTATCTATATAGAATTCAGCGATTGCCATTTATAAACTGCATTAATACAGTTTTATTACAATTCAGATATCGGGGTATGTCTGTATATGAGTACAAATTTATATATACAAAATAACACGTACAAAAAAAGCTAAAATTATTATTTTATTAAATTTAACATGAGTAATTTTTACTTTTTACATTTTTGTTCGGAAAATTCACTAAATTTACAAATCCGCACTAAAAAAAAAAAGGGAAAAAAAGAAGGAAAAACAAATTGAAAAATAAATACATAAAATTAAAATTTAATTAAAAGGAAAATAAAATATTATACTAGTAGAAATATTTAACTCTTAAATATTACCCTTACATATTAGATTTGACATATGGATATCCTATAACCATTCAAAATGCAGTAATATAATTGTGTACTGTAAAACAGTTTTAAAACTTACTGCCAAAAGCTATATAATCAATAGTTATACAGAGTGTTTTGCATAAGGTGGCAAATAATTTCAGGGATGATTCTTGACAAAAAAGGGACTAAATTTTTCTGCATACAGATAAACGGGTATAACTTCTGAAGCAAGCGACATAGAGTAGCCATCGCTGGCTTGTTTTACAGGCAACTGATTGTTATTTAGTGTTTTAAAAACATGTAGAAATCTTTTGCATATTTTTTGAGAACATTTAATACGCTTTACTGGCAAAACTATGATCTTAACGAGTTCTGTCTGAAAAACTATGGCTCAGATCAAATTAATTGGATAGAAAATAAAAAGTGAAATCAATCACCTGTAAAACAGTCTACGATGGTTACTCTATGTCGCGTAATTCTGAAGTTATCTTCGTTTATTTATATGAAAAAAAAATCTGGTATCTTTTTATTTCAACAGACTCGAAAACTACTACATCTGTACCCCCTCCCCCCAATAAAAATTTTTCTGGAAATTGATTAAAAAATCACTGAAAGTATTTGCTACCTTATGCGAATCATCCTGTATAACAGTACATTGGATTTCAGTTGTTAAATTGACACTTACACCAGAACTGTCAAATTGTGAATAGAGATTTTAACTTTTATATAAGACAAAGTGATGTGAAACCTTAAAATTTTAAGAAATATACGGAATGAAATAAAAAACCACAATTGAAATTGTAAAAATTTTGACATAAACTTATCGTTTCTGTCGATATTTACTTTTTGCGTATTGTGACAAAACTTTTCTCTTTGATTGAAGAAACTTTCAAATTGTCTTAAGTATAAGGTGACCATTTATCAAATATCAAAACATTGAAGTACATAAATGTGTTGCAATGATGAGTCAATTATTTTGAATGCTTTTTTTTATTTTAAATGTAATTCATAAAAATAGAATCTAATAAAAAATAATAAATAGGAAAAAACTCTACTTACGTTTTGTTTTTATAAAAGTATTTTTTTGCTTTATCTCGAGAAATCAATAAAACTTTAATGATTTAGCGGTGATGAATTTTTTTTTATTAATTATCCTAGATATTTAAAGATTTTTTTTCTTTGTTACTTGTTTTTTTTTTTTTTGGTACATTTTTGTTCTTTCCCAGCATCCTCCTTTTGTAAAATTCAAGTGCGTATTGCTCTTTTTCTCTGTGTTTTTTTCTTTTATTTGGTTTTAATTTGTTTTTAGTGTAGGTTTTTTTTAAGAATATTAAAAAAAATTAATTATATCTCTCTACTTCTCGCTCATAAATCATCGCTCTATTTACTATTCTCTTTTGTTTTTTGTTGTTTTTTTTTTTTTATTTTTTTTTATTTAAAGAAATTTTTTCGTTGTCGTTGGTTTTCGATTATATTATTACAATTAATGCCGAAATGAAATGTGTGAATATTTTAATATTTTTCTATATATTGTACACATATATATGTATACATAATTCGAGTATGTACACAAATATTCAAATAATTTACTTTATACATACATATATTATTTTGTTTAATTTAAATATTATCGTATGCCTACCTACTATATTGTTGGGTGTCTGTACATATCAAAACAAATGTTTGAATTTCAATTTAATTTTTTAATAAGCAATACAATCGGTGACTTTAAAAATGCAATAATAGTTAATATTCAATTGTAACGCAATTCAGCAACTACAATTTATTTAGCTGAATAATCTACTAATAATGATTTTGCATTAATTTTGATGTTAGACGATATTGTTATTCTGGAATAAAATCACATAGACATTTAGATTTGCATTTAAGTTTTATATTTGTTCCTTTAAAATCACATACATTGAAATTGATATAAATAAAAAATTGAAATGATTAAAATGTCATATTTTTGACAAATAATTTGAAAATAATTTGGCGAAATAATGAAAAAGAAAATTGTTATCAGATGAATAACAAAATGATTTTTAACATCCCTGCTGCTTTTTAACATCCCATCATAGCTTATTATTGAAATTTTTGAGGTCATGGTATTTTATTTATTTTTAATTAGTTCAAATTATATTTAATGTTTTTTCTTTCTAATATTGAATTTAACAATTCTATTGTTGTGATTTCATAGTTTTAAACAAAAAAATAATTATTATTACTGCGATTCTACACACACGTACTACATAATATATGTATGTTATAAAATTAAATATTATAAAATTTTCTTCTAAATTTTATTTCTTCAATTATTTATTATGTATATGTTATTTATAATATTATAAAATATAATAATTTTTACTTGATATACAATTATTTTATTATTTGCAATCAATTCCTAATTTTAACCAAAAGATTTCATTGATGTAGTTGCTGTGTGATGCATTAGCGATGTATGAGTTTTAATTATTATTGATGATTCAATTAAATGTTCATTACCGTTAACACGTTCAACAATATAGGTATATGTACGTAAATTTGTAATTGTTTCAATTGAAATTGCTGGTACATTAATATTATCATTATTGTTGTTGTTATTATTAGTATTATTGTATAGTTTATTAGGATTATTTATTGTTGATGATAATAATGATGATGATAATGGTGATGGTTTTATTGATGATACTGATGATGATTGTAAAACTTTTGAATTATCAATTATTTCTGGAGTTGTTGTTGTTATTAAAGTAGATTGAAAGGTTTCCGTATTATTATCATAATTGTTGAGTTGTTGTTTATTAGATTTTAATGTCGATGACGGTTTTAATTTTTTTTTAATAATTCTTTTATTTACAATTAACTTGTTTGTTTGATTATTGTTATTATTATTATTACTATTATTGTTATTACTATTATTAATTTTGGTAGTATTTAATGATGATGTTCCATTATTCAATCGATCTGATTCACGTCGTTTTATAGTAATTCTTTTTTGTAATGGTCGTATTGTTGTTGTCGTTGGTGGTGCTTCTATCAATTCATCAATTTCAAATTTTTCTTTATTAGTATCAGTATTATTTTGTTTCGTTTTAGTTATCACAATTCTACGAGATTTACCTTTACGTAAATTACTATTGTTATTATTTTCATTATTTTTTATTGATTTATTAATTGTTGATGTTGACGGTGAAGCATTTGTTAATATTGTTTCTGTTGTTGATCTAAGAATTTTTGAATTAATTGTTGTAGTAGTAGTTGGTTTTCGTTTTATAATTCTTTTAATTTTTCTTTGTCTATTATTACTAATATTACTATTATTATTGTCATTTTGTGCATATCTTTTATATCGTTTTCTATTATTATTATTATTTATATTTATATTATTATTAATTGATGAAGAATTTTTATCCCCTATCATATTATTACATAATACGGTATTATTAGTCATAAAATTGTTCATATTATTTATATTTACAAAATTTTCATCATTATAAATGTTATTATAGTAATAATAATAACTATTATTATTATTTAAATAATTGACCTTATCATGAATTGGGGATATTAATTCAGATAGGTCATTTACAATAAAAAATAATTTGAATTCATATTACCATTATTATTATCATTATTATTACTATTTTCATTATTTTTATTATCAAACACAATTTTCGTACTTTTAAGTAATTCTGTATTATGTTGTAATAATGGTTGTTCTTTTGTTTTCATATTATTAAATTTATTATTTACAGATGATGATTTTTCATACCATAAACTTACATCACCGACAATACTTTCTAAACTTTGTGTCTCGTAATTATTTAAAATTTCTTCATGACTAGAAGATAATATATTGTTATTTATTGATATATTATCATTATTAATATTACTATCACTATTGTTATTATTATTACCTGTTTTATTGTTATTGTCGTTATTATTTATAAAATGATTAGGTAAATAATATTCTTGTATATTACTATCAGATGCTTTAATAATATCACTTAAATCATCAAAATTATCAATTGTCATAGATTTCTCTTGATTAACTTTCGATTTCATATTTTTATCATCATCATTATTAATATTATGTAAAATTTCACGTTTATGTAAATTATTTTCTGGATAATACGTTGACAATACAGTACTAAATTCACCCGGACGTCGACCGGATACATATAATGTAACAATGCTTGTTTCTAATTGTTGTTGCTGCTGTTGATGTTGAATATTGTCGTTACCTAAAGGTTGCTGTTGATGATGTTGATGTTGATTTTTATGGCCTTTCTTATTTTTTTTTCTTTTATTTGTTTGGTTACTACCATTTGAGTCATTTATTTTTTTTGTCGAAATTTGTTGTTGAAATTGTTGACCATTATTATTGTTGTTGTTATTACCATTAGCATTCTCAATATCATGAATGTTATCATCAACAGATTCCCTAACATCACGAAATTCATCTAATGTTGATAATTTTTGTAAATGATTGTTATTAATTTCTTGTTGTATATTTTCATGTAATAAAAGTTGAGCTGAATTTGGATCAATTACTTGTGGCGAACTAATGCCATTTATACCGTTTGTTAAATCAGGTTGTAATATGTTACCAAATTGTTGTTGGTGTTGTGAATTTTGCTGTTGTTGTTGTTGGGCTGCTAATATTGCAGCAGCTGCTGCTGCTTGTTGTTGCTGTTGTTGTTGCTGTTGTTGTTGTTGTAATAACAATAATAAACTATTTACTTGTGGTACAGATTGTTGGGTTGGTGTAACAACAATTGTATCAGTTATAAATTCAGTTGCTGTTATAACACTTGTACTAGTATCATATATTGTTGTTAAAATTTCTTTACCATGGAACGTTAATGGTATAACTGTTGACATACCATTTGTTACTGTTGTTACATATGATGTTGTACGTGTTTTATATTCTGTTACTGGTGTACCGATAGCACCAATATTCGGCTGTAATTGTTGTATGCCCAATATTGAATTAATTGGATTTTGTTGTTGTAATCCAATATTACCTAATAACAATTGAGATAACAATATATTGGCTAACGGTGCATTAGCAGCTATTTGTGGCTTTAAGGTTGATACAACATTTTCAACATCATATACAGTTGATGGTATTATATGTGAAAATGATGTACGTCTACCACGTATTGTTGTTGGTGTAAATATAACAGCAGTTGTTGGTGTTTCATTTAATATAAATTGTGTTACTTCTGTAATACCATTTGAATTAATTGATGTTTTATCATTATTAATAACTAAATATGTATTTCCATTACGATTTATTTGTGTATTATATTGATTTGGTCCTAATAATTCTGTACTTGGTTTTGCTGTTATAACATTTTTGTATTCTGTTATTTTACCATTAACAACTGGTATCGTTATTTCAGTTGGTATGTGATGTGTTACTGTTATCGTACCATCAAAACTTGGTAAAATTTGATCGATAATAAAATCATTTGTTGTACCACGATTACGGGATCTTGTTGTTGAACGTCCACGGCTGGTTGTACGTTGACGCTGATTTGTACTACGTGATGGATAAGGTGATTCAGTTACGGTATTTGTAAAACTTTTAAGACGTGGTTGTTTTGCACGGCTTACAGTTGAACGACGTGATGCAGATGTTGGTGGACGTCGAAAATTAGCACGTTGGGTTTGTGATTTTGTAACACTAGTGAGGTCTTTATTATTATTATCATTTGGTCTTAATGTAAATGGTGTTCTACCAGATGTTGGCTTTGTTGGTCTAATACGATTACCGTTATTATTGTTATTATTATTATCATCATTTGTATTCGATTTTGAATTTGATTGCTGTGATAAATTCAATTTTGATGAAGATTTTGGTGTACGATTAGTGTATCGTGAGCCACGTTGTCGGTTACCATTTGGTGATTGTTGCTGTTGTGATGATTGCTGTTGTTTGCTTTGTGTTTGTTCATCTTCTTCACTTACAAAATCAGAACGTTCTTCAGCTAAAACATTATTTTTTATTGAACTACTTTGTGTTGGTGGTCTACGAAATCTATTACGAAAATTGCTACTTCTAGTCCCATATTCTGTTTGACGTTTCGAACGACGTTTACTTAAATTAATTAAATTATCTTTAGAACTTTGTTGTGAATTTGAAACTGTTGTTGTTGCTTGTGTTTGGTGTTTCTCTAAATTTTTATTATGATGACGTTTCCGTCTTTCATTATCATTATCATCATTATCAGTATCATCATCATCATATTCATCATTATCATCATTTATATCATCATTATCATTATCAGGTGATTTTTTATTATTATCACTATCTAAATCTTGATTTATATTTTGGGCTTGGAATAAACCTCTTGGTGGGAATAAACTATTTTGTGGTCTTGGCCGATTTTGTAATGTTGGTAAATTTGGTCTTTGAAATGTTCTTGGACGTGGTTTAGATGTTGTTGTTGTTATTATTGATATGGGAGTAGTTGTTGTTGATTTAGCACGTTGTGTTAATGGATTTCTACGTGTTGAAATTTGATTTTGTGTTTGGGTACGTAAACTATTATTAGCATTATTATTCGCATTATTATTGTTAGATATTGGTCGGTTTAATGTACCAGGGCGACGAAATTTTAATAATGGATTATTAAAACGTCTTGAATTTTCTGTGGTTGTATCAATTTGTTCTTCTTCTTCATTATTATCATTGTCAATTTGTTGAGTAGAATTTTCATCATTAATATTATCTGAATCTGTTGTTGATTGTACTGATTGTATTGAATTAGTATTATATAAACTGCTAGATAATATTGATGATGGTCTTATACGTAATCTAGAATTACCTAAATATACACTTGATATTTGTCTACCGGTAGGTACGATATTACTAGTTTTTAAATTAATAGCACCAATACGTCTTGAGGTACCACTATTTGTACCTTGTAATAAACTAGTTGAGCTTGGTTGAATTCTTAATGACGATCTATTATTACCGCCGCGTGTTGATTGCAAATTACCATTATTATTATTATTTAATTGAGATGATGACGCAATTTTTGATGGTCTTGAAAATCGTCTTGGACTATTAATTGATGATGATAATGATATTGACGCTGATATTGAATTTGATTGTAAATTATTTGTATTACTATTACGTCGTAAATTATTAAAACGTCCTCTTACTGACGTTTGTTCTGCTTTAAATGCGGGTGTTGCTGTTATTGTTGGTGTAAAATCAGATCTTGTTATTATTGTTGCACTACTTTGTGATAAGTTTTTCCTTTTTGGTGCAAAATGTGGTCGATTACGTGAGGCAAATGGTCTTATAACTGGCGTAAATGTTTTTTTTCGGCCTAATAAACCACCACGTTTATTATCTGAATCATTATCTTGTTCATCATCAGTTGTAATACCATCATTATTATCTTTATTATTTTGTTGTTCATCATTTAATGCTGAAGTTGATGAAGATGATTGCACTGAATCAATTGAGCCACCCAATAATTGTATATTATTAATATTTATTTGTGTTGGTTTTATTTGTAAAATTGATGATGATAACGATGATAATTTTGTTGGTGTTAATTTTACATTATTATCATTATTATTATTATCACTATTATCATTTATATTCGTTGATAATTTATCAATTAAATAACTTGATGTACTTTCAATTATTTGTGCATAACGACCATCAATAATTGTACCAATTACTTTTGATTTATATAACGTTGTTGTATTATTTGATATCATTGTACCTTCAATTGAACGTACTAATCCTGTTTTATATGATCTCGTTGATGATGGTGATAATGATGATTCACCATCTGTTATATCATTATTATTTGTGTTTGATGATAATGATGATGAATCAGTAATTGATTGTAATGATTTTTTAACTTCATCAATATTTATGGATGATGTGCTTTTTGTTATTTCTTTTAATTCACCATTTACATTTGTTTTATATACTTTTGTTGTATAATATATTGTACTTATTTCATCAGAATCAATAATTTTCTTAATATCAATTGATATTAAATTTTCATCATTTAATTGTGGAGTACTTGAATCATGTTCATTCGTATTTTGCATTGATGTTTCAATTAAATCAGAATATGACAAAATTGATGATGATAAATCAATATTATTATTATTTTTATTATTATCATTATTATTTATTAAATTATTATTATTATTATTAATATCAATTGATCTACCATTTGGTATTAATGATGGTATTATTGATGGTTCAACAACATTTGTTATTGTTTCAAGACGGCTATTAACAATTGTTTCATCGTCCGAATATGATGTTGTATAATATGTAAATGTTGTATAAAATGTTGTTGGTTCTGTTAATATAATTGATGGCTTAATTTTTGGTATATTTTCATCATCATTATCAATATTACTATTATTATTGTTATTGTCATTATCATTATCATCACCACCAATTAATCTTGTTTTAATTAATATATCATTATTTTTAATAAATTTTGTTGGTATTATTATCTGTTCATTATTATCATTTATATTGCTAGCAATTAATGTTTTCTCCTGTTCTATGTTATTTGACTGTAATATTGTTGGAGTTATAATATTTGATATTGTCTCTTCATGACTAATGGTTGTTATTTGTCCATCTTTAACCAATGTTGTCCAATATGTAAATGTTGTAAAATATGTGATTGGTAATTTTGTATCATTATTACTATTTATATTATTATTATTATTATTATTATTAATATTGTCCTTATTATTATTATCATTTATGTTATTAATATTAATTATATCATTTGAATTTTTTAATGTTTCCGTGACATAATTTGTTACTGTTTCTAAACGACTTATAACGTTTGTTATATCATCATTATACATCGTTGTATAATATGTAAATGTTGTATAACTTGTTTGTAATAATAATGTTGGCGATGGTAATATATCTTCAGTATTACTTTCAGAACTTATTTGATCATCAATTATTGAAATTTTTGTTGTAATATTATTATTATTATCATTATTAATTAATATATCTTTATTATTATTATTATTATTATCATCATCATCATTTGATATTTGTGATTTTAATGTTAATCTATTAATTGTATCATATTTTAATGATGATAATTTTATCTGGTTATCTAATATAATATTATCCTTAACATATAATGTTTCTTCTAAATTCAAATCTCTCGGTGTTGGTTTTATTTCATTTTTTTCATTATTGCTATCTTTATTACCTATATTTATATTTGTGTTAATAATATTATCATTATTACTATTATTATTATTATTATTATTGTCATCATTATTGAGATAATTTGTAAAAATTTCTGTACGACTCATTATTTCGGTTTCACCATCAACAAATATTGTTGTATAATATGTATATGTTGTAAATAATGTTTTTGTTGGTGATATTAATGGAATTGTTGATGATAATGATGATGTTAACAATATATCATCCATATTTTTATCATTCTTTGATAGTATATCATCAATTTCAATTAAGTCAGATGGTTTAACAGCATCATTATTATTATTGTTATTGGTATCAGAATTAGAAATCAATGTAGATTGTTGTATTTGCATTGGTAATAACGTTGATGTTATTATATTAGTTACGATTTCTTTACGGCTTGATATACTTGTTGTTGTATCATGAAAGAATGTTGTTAAATATGTATAAGTTGTGTATAATGTTTTATATATTAATTCAATTTCCTCATCGTCATCGTTATCATTATCATTATCTATATCATCATCATTATCGTCATCATCATCATCATCAATATCGTCATCATTCACATTATCTGTATTATCATCATTATCATTATTATTATATAAAGTATCATTATCGTCATTATTTTTTGTTGTTGATGATGACGATGAAGATTGTGTTGTTGTTGTTGTTGCTGTTGTATCAATATTATCATCAATTGATTCATTTGTTATTAATGTTGATTTTGTTGTCGTTGCATTTATTTTACTTTTATTTTTTAGTTTTCTTGATTTAATTGTTGTTGTTCTAATTGTTGTTGAATTTTCATCATCTTTATCATTATTACCATCATTGAAAATTTCACCATTATTTGGTTCAGTTGTTGTTGTTACATGAATTTTTTTACTTATTATCATATTTGGTGTAGTTTCAATTGATATTGAATCAGATGAAATTTTTTCATTATTACCATAATTATTTTCTGCTTTTTCTATATTATTTATTGTTGTTATTTCATTGTTATTGTTATCGTTATTTAATATTGTATCTGTTGTTGTTATTAATTGTGATTCTATATCATTATTATTATTGTTATTTGGTTTTTCAATAACTTGATCAATATTTTCATATAATTTTGTTGTTTTAATTGTTGAATCAATTGATGTTGATTCACAATAAATTTTTGTTGATTCAATAATATCATATGTTGATAATATACTTGATTCAATTGATGTTGTATCATCATCAAAATATGTTGTTAAATATGTTAATGTTTTTGGTATTTTTTCCATTACAATTTTAGTATTTAACTGATTATTTAATTGACATTTATCATCTGTATTTTCATTATTTATATCATTTACATTATTATTATTATTATCATTTTTATTTAATAATTTATTATTGTTATCATTAGCATTTTCATTAAAATCTGTTTCATCATCGGATGTTTTTAATGTTGTAGTTATTAATTTTAACGAATCTAATTCGGTTGTTATTTCATTATTATCAATATTATCAGTTGTTTCATAGCCATTATCATCATTTTTCTCGGTTGTAATAACAATTTTCCTGTTATTGTCATTTTCATTATTACTAATATTTAAATTTTCTGTTATATTTGTTGATATTTTTTCTTCTGATTCTTCAATTATTGATGATAATATCGATGAAGGTAATAATGATGATGATATTATTGATGATGGTGATATCGTTGATGATGAAGTCTTATCAAATGCTGCGAATGGGTCATCTTCAAAGAAAATTGTTGTTGCACCTCCAGAAATTTTTATTTCTTGACTTATTGTTGTTGTTGGTTTTATTTCTTGCTCTTCAGAATGTTGAGATTGCTGTTTTTGCTGTTGGTCGTCAGTTAAAATTAATGATTTCTTACGTTCAGCTTCAGCAGATGCAATTGATGCTAATGCACGTAATATATCTTCATTTGATGGTTTTGTTAACATTGGTGTTTCTTCAGTTTCATGTATTATCTTTTTATCATCTTTAATTGTTACGTCGTTATCAATTATTGATGATGATGATGATAATATTTTTGAAGAAGGTTTCATAGATGATAATGATAACGTTAATTTATTAGTATTTTCATTATCTTTGACATCAATTATAGATGATTCAATGTTATCATTATATTGTTCTTCCTGTTGTTGTTGTTGTTGTTGTTGATTTTCATCTATTGATGACATTTGCATTAATTCAATATTACCATCCATATTGCTACCATTATTATCGTTATTATTAATAGCATCCTCGTTAGTGCTTATTAAATTTTTTTTTGCTGGCAAAACATAATTTACTGTTTGATCTAATGAAATTTTTTGCATTGTAAATGTTGGTTCAATTAAATCTTGCGTTATTTGTATTGGCAAATGTTTAATATGTGTACCAGTTAAATCATTTTGTTTACCTAATGTTGCTTCACCACGTATTGATGTTATTTGGTTAAAATTAATTTGATCTTGTGTTGTACTTGGTGAAAATACTATAACGGTATCACCAACATTTGTTGTAAATTCAGCAAAACCATAATATGTAACTGTTTGTAAATTTAAATTATTTGAGTTATTATTATTATTATTTAAATTTATATTTGTCAGAAAATCATTTTTATCGCGTGATAATAATTTTGGTGATCTTTGTTGATCGGAAAACGATGATAAAGATGATGATGAAGAAGATAAAGATGATTTTATCAGCAATTGATTTTGTAATTGTTGTTGTCTATTATCTAATTGTTGAAATGTATTATCTTGCTGTTGATATTCATTATTATCATAATTATTACGATTGTTATTATCATTATTATTATTATGATTATTATTATCATCACTATTATTAATATTATCAACATTTTTCTTATTATTATCCCATGAATAACCACTTGGTGCAAAAACATTTTTAACAGTAAATGTTTGTAAATTCATATCATTTTGAACTTTATTTGCATTAATTTTTTGTATATTATTATCATTGTTATCAATTTGTTTTATATTTTTAATATTATTGCTATTTGTATTACTATTAACAATTGTATTACTATTGCTATTACTCCTGCTACTACTAGTACTGCTACTACTACTACTACTACTACTAGTACTACTACTAGTATTATTTATATTATTATATAACTGTTTTTCTTGTTGATATTGTTGTTTCTGTTGTAATTGTTGTTGATTTTGTGATTGTGAATTAAAAAATAAATTTTTATAATTCTTTTTATCGCTTACATTTGTTGAATATACTAATTGTGCTCCATTATTACTATTTACAATTGTAATATTATCATTATTTTTATTATTATCATTTTTTAACATTATTAATTCAGTTTTTATTAAATTATCATCAATTTTTGACCAATTATTATCTTCAATAATAAAATTATTGCTATCATATTTATTATTATTGTTATTGTGAATATTTTGTTGTTGATTTTGCTGATATTGCTGCTGCTGTTGTTGTTGTTGTTGTTGAAAATTATTATGATATACATTATATTGTTGTTGATATTTATTATTATAAGTATCATAATTATTATTATTGTTGTTATTATAGTTATTTGATAGCTGTTGTGGTGATTGTAAATATGTAGCAGCTGTTATTACAATTGGTGATTTAGTTTTTATATCATCATTATTAATATTATCATCATTGTTATTATTATTAATATTATCATTATTATTAAGTACACGTGAGCTTTTTTTTAATAATTGTGCGTATAAACGTCCATTATCTAATGTTGTACCAACAATTTGTGTAGCATATTCAGTTGCAATACCATCTTGTATAAATGTACGAGCTGTTTTTGTTATTAAACCAACTTCTGGTTTAAAATTCAAAAAATGTCCGGCTCGATGCAATTGATTATCATTATTAACAATTAATACAGTTGATAATTCTTTAATTTTTTTTGTGTAATTATTGTATAATTCAAATTTTTTAATTAAAATAAGATATAGAATAAACGCAATTTAAAATTTTACAATATTTTATTATTTATTTATATAAATATAGTTAATAAATTGGAAATTTTATTTTAATTACACAAAAATTTTAATATGTACATAATTTGTATTCCCAATAATTGTTTTTGTACAATTCAAAAAAAACAACAGCAATGCACACACATAAAGAGAAATAGATTGAGAGAGAGAGTGAGAGTAAGTGAGAGATTTTAGTAGATTTATATAGGACAGAAAGGTTCATGTATAAGAAAAAAAAAAAGCAAAATTTTTTTAGTGTTAATTATAATTTAAAAAAATTTACACATATTTATATATACATATACCTAAAATAGGTTACACATAGACCAAAAATGAAAAATTTCTTAAATTTATGGACTCTATTTTAATTTTTTTTAAGATTCTATTATAAAATTATAAATGCTCTTATTTGTTGAAATAGAAAACTCCGAATATACTCTAAAAGCCATTTTGTAACCTATTTTTTGTTATGCATAATTTTATACATTTTATACACTATTTATACATTTATTACAAATTAAACATACATATAAGTATGCAATAACTTTTATTTTTTCACATAAACATACAATGAACACATATGGACATATACATTTGTATATATACATATATATACCTAAATCACAACACAATTCATCAACACAAAACAAAAAAAAACAATATGAAAAATTGAATCAAAAATTTATGTATTAATTTAACAAAAAATATAGTTGACTAAAACTAATGGTTTGTAAAGAATCACTTTTCCTTTCAACAAGTAAAAATACTGCTTTGAAAAGCAATTTAGCAACTACATTGTTTATAAAAGTTTCATTCGTACATATCAAATTGTATATATATATATGTAACGTATACAATAGTTTAGGATGAGCAAAAAAAATTGAATGGAGCATTAACACAATGGTTGAATTGGACGGTCTAGCCAATATGATAAGAAAATAATTATATTTTTTGATGGTGTGACGTTTACCGTCAGCGTTTTGCGTTAATTAAATTTTGAAAAAGCTTGCATATTTGGGAATATAAGATAGCAAAAATTCGAATTTTACGAATTTCACTCCACCTCCTCTTAAGTTATCGAGAGGTGATAACTTAAGAGGGGATGGAGGTGGAAAAAAAAAGAAAATAAACTGTTTTATAATATCTAAAAGCTGTTAATTTTAGATTTCTACAGCATATCAACAGCGTATGAACGGATGAAAAAATACGAAAGTTGAAAAAAACGGTTTTTAAATAACGGTTAATTTTACTTGCCACTTTGCTTTTTCAAAGTTTAACAAATCTATGCCACGGTAGAAAAAGCTCACCACTACTTTTTGCGTTTGCAGAATTAAAAAATTATTTGTCGTTTCGTAACAATAAATAGTCAAAAAATAGTATTTTTAGGACCTTGAGGAACTATAACTTTTAAAGGTGGACAGATAGGTTGAAAGTTCTTTTCTACGGAAATAGGTTTCAAAGAAACGTGTAGAAGTTTTGTAAAAAGACACACGGACAGATGACCGAACTGACGAACAGCCAAAGTGAAAAGGAACATCAAAAAGTTGTCCAACCTCTCTGCCCCCGAGAGAATATACCACCTTACACATTCACCTTGTATGTACATATGTACATTATATGTAATTAATAAAAAAATTTCAGGCTAAAAGATAGCAAGCTTTAGGAATTTTTTTTTTTTAATTTATCAACAACATTGTAGAACCCTAATAAAAATTAACTTTTAGTGTAGGAAAGTTTTAAAATTTTAAAAGAGTTTTTCGCTTATACTATATATACATACATTATCGGGGATAAATTATGGAATAATTTTGTTTATTAGCATATGTAGAAATATATATACGTATGCATATACATTTGCGTACATGTATGTTTATATACAAATAAAAAATAAAAAAAAAGTATATTTATATACCTTCATTACGCTGCCTTAACGCTGGTGTCGGTCCGACAATATATGGTTCACCTAAAAAAATATAGAGATTGTTAGGTATAATATTTTTTTTGTTTTTCTAATATTTTCTGTATTTAAGTATTTTTTTATTGAAAAACTAATGCTAACGAAATTTTAATAATATATTTTCAATAAAAGTTATAAACACTCTCTTGACTTGCCTCAAGAACACCCGTATTCCTTTATCGTTACGAAGTTTCTCAATTTATCCGTATATACGTAAGAATATTTGTTCATGTATTTGCAGCACCTCCACAAGCTAGCTCATATTCCTCTCTTCTTGGAGCAATAATATTAGTAAACCACCAACCATTTCGTATATATATTCGTGTGAAGAAGTACGGGTACTTCTAGAAGGGCTATACACATGGGACAAAAGGTATTACAAGAATTCCACCTGCCCTCCCCCTTCAACCCCACCCGAGATGCTTTGTGACCGCTTTTCACAAAATGGTACCACATCTTATGGGGGTAATTATCATTTACTTTTGGTAGTACAAATATTGTATATAAATTAATTTTTGAAAGCGTGAGTTATAACAAGAAGTGAATACTTCCTTAAGAAAATTGTTAAATTTAATAAAGTCTACATTGCTTTAAGATTTAAAACGGTTTTCACTGCTTAACTCCCTCACTTTTATTTATTCAACGATTGAGATAAACTATTACGAAATAAATTTTAAACACTATTACGAAATAAATTTTTAACAGTTAAATAAAGTTGGGTCAAACCAATAGTTTGCATTGTAGCACTTTTCCCTTCAACAAGTGAAAATACTGCTTTTAAACACAGTCTATATATACCTACTACATTAGTAAAATTATTTTCATTCATAAGCGAAACTATTTCTAGGATTGCATATATTTAGGATGATCAGTTCACGCAGTCTTTGAAATAAAGCAAAAATTAATATAAAGGGGAGTTAACATAATAATCGATTTTGAGGGTTAATTACGTGAGTTAAGAAAAATAATTATATTTTTTAATGTCATGGAAATATAAGGCGTCAAAAATTCAAATTTTGCAAATTTCAAGGCGCGATAACTTGATAGGGGGTTCAGATGAAAAAAAATTTTCTTCTAACGGAATAAACTATTTGTTATTACCTAAAAGCTACTTAAACTTCAGGCTGCTACAACCTGAAGTTTAGAAGAAACCCGTCATCAAAAATTTGGAAAAAACGGACTTTAGATAAAGGTAAATTTGAACGGCCATTTCGTTTTTTTAAAGTTAACTATAGTATACCGCGATAGGAGAAGCAAGCCACTGCCTCTCTGCGTTTGCAAAATTTGAAGAATGCTTATGGTTTCACTGCAATAAATACTTAAAAAATGGCATTTTTAGGATTTTGTTGGGTATAACTCCTAGAGGGGTGGTAAAACTTTTCTTCTACTCAATTCAGTTTCTTGTTAAGATCAATGTACATATTAAATTTCAGCTTTCTATCTTCAAGGGTGTAGAAGTTTTGTAGAGACGGACGGACAGAGTGAAACTAATAAGCACTTTTTTTCAAAAAAATTTTGGGAAAGAGCTAAAAAACAAAAAAAAATTAAAACTAATTTCAATTTTTTTTTTTTAATTTATACAATGTGCAATTAAAAAAGAATAAAAAAGAATAAACAATTAGGTCAAGGTTTTTTTGTTTTTTTTTTAATTAATCCACATAAATCTAAAAATGAACTACAAATACTAAATTTAAAGATGAAAAGAATTGGAATTCATTGTATATATATATAAAAGGTTAAAGATGAAGATTAGCCGAATTGTTTTTATTGTTGAGTGATCATTGGAAGAAAATCTTATATGTGATTAATATAATAAAACCTCTTAACTGCAAAAACAACTCAATATTATGAAAACAATCCCTACAGAAGTAATGCATTGTTTGTAAATGTAGTGGGTGTGTTTTATAAACAAAGTATATTTCTACTGTAACAAATTATTCATAATTCGAGTTTAAGGTCAAGAGGTACGTACCTGCCAGCCTTCCGCTATGCCCAATTCGGTTTTACATTCACAAAATGCGATTTTGTGTTATTGAATTATTGGATGTTTGTAATTTCTCTTTTTCTTCTGTACCAAATAACTTTGTCCATCTCTATTAAAATTGTTTTTTTTTTTTTATTTATTTAAACGCATGTTTAACTGTTATTAAGATGTAGGCATCCTTTTTTCTTTTAACTTATTTACTTTTGCTTTGCTGTTTTCAGTTCTATATAAAAATGAGTTCCTCTAAATGGCAGTTTAAGTGCATAAATAACAAAATTAAAAAAAAATAAAGAAATTTTTTATGATGTAGGTTGCACTCAAAGCACAGGCACACCGAAGAAGAAGAAGAAGAATTTTTTTTTAATTTTTCTCGTTTGCAATTTGTTTTTTGCATTTCATATATACGTACAAACATGTAGACATCACCTTATAGAAGCAATCCGTTTCTTTGACATACACAAAAGCATAAGATCCGTTTTCTTTGACATAAATTTTCTTTTTTCACCATAAAATTTTTTATTTTCTATTACCAATTTTGGTTGTAGACGCGCAACCGTATGAAATAATGATTTTTTTCTTGCTTTCTTTGAATATGTATATAGTTTTGTAAATATTTCAAAAGTAAAAAATGAAATATAAATTTCCCTTCTATGAATTATAAATTTTTTGAAAATGGAAAACTGAAATTTCATATGTACATGGATCTTTGCTAAAACCTTATTTCTTTAGTACAAACGTAGAAAAAAATTTTTACCTGTCTCCCTCCCTCCCCTAAAATTTATAGCCCCCATATAAACAATAAGCATTTTTTAAATTTTTCAACACCCAAAAACGAGTGGGTGGCTTCTTCTACCGCGGTATACCATACTTTTATTTTTTGCCGTGTGGAGGATGAAAATCTCGAAGGACACTGCTAAAACAAAAAGCAGTAGTGTGAGACTCTGACTCTTAAAACACTCAACAAGATCAGTGTGACTCTAACCCACTAAAAACACCCACCAAGATTAGTTTTTGATGTCATATGCGTTTTAGAAACGAGGCATACATCAATATTTTCCGTTTGCAAAAAGACTTCAAATACTTCCACTTTATTTGCGATACTGTTGCAGTTCCAAGTCGCTACATCTTCCCATTTTATTTGTTTTTATCAGATATTGATTTATTTTTATCAGAAGACCTACCTTCAATGGCAGTCAATCTATCGGTAATTTTACCCATTATTACAATCATGTTTTGTATCATTGTTTGCAAGGCCTCGAAAACATTCTCATCACCTCGCATTCGCAATTTTTTGGCAGTAATTGGTAAGCTATCTCTTTTCGTTTCCAGGGTATCTTATATGATATACCTTTGGAAAATATATTGAAAGTAAAGCGCTTCGAGATTTGGCTAAAGCCTTTCTTTGCTTTTTCTTGTTCATATTTTTATTTTTTTAAAAAGGCTGCTATTTGATTGTAATCAACCACATTACTTATGATTACAGGGAGTGGCTTGAAATTTCTGACAGTATCATTACCACCTCTCGGATAAGTAACACCCGAACCCTCCACACTTTTCGTTGGTTGAATTACCTCGGTTAATGACTCTTCCTTTCTCTTTTTGCTTGACCTATTTTGCTTAAGAATCCAGTTTCTGGCATGAGTTCCTCGTCTGTTGAGTATGTAACTCTATGTTGTTCTTGATGTGTAACAGGATTTTCACTCGATGTACTATCTTTTGGTATAGTGCTACTATACCTTCCATTTTTAGTTTCTCGTTTTCTGGCCTTATTTCGAGAACCTCACTTCTTAAGGCCAAGCAGAGAGACTCTCCAATGGATGGATTCTCCAATGTAATTGGATTACCATACTTAACTTTAAAACTACAATATACCATACTTGAATTGTAAGAAAACAATATGGCTATTAAAATTTACCGTTCTGTAAAATCCGTTTTTTCAAAATTTTTGATATCGTTTTTAGCACTTTGGAAAAAGGTGCTTATTCGTTTTACTCTGTTCGTCCGTCTGTGTGTCTGTTTAAAAAACTTCTACACCGTTGAAGATAGAAAGCTGCAATTTTGTACAAACATATATCTTTTCTGGAAACTTATTTCCACAGAAGAAAATTTTTACCTATCTCCCCCCTCTAAAAGTTATAGCCCTTCAAAGAACTAAAAATGCAATTTTTCGACTATTAAAGAAATCAAAAACATTTTTCAAATTTTGTTAACGCAGAAAAGTAATCTTGGGCTTTTTCTACCGAGGCATAGCATAATTAAATATTAAAAAAATAAATTGGTTGCTAAAATTAACCGTTATCTTAAGTCCGTTTTTTCCGAATTTTTGATATCGTTTTTTTTCTAAACTGTCAATTATATGTTAGGAGTCTGAAATTTAAGAAACTTTTACATATTGGTAAATAGTTCATTGAGGTTACGAATATAAAAGCAGAAAAATATTTTAAACTGTTAATTTGACAGCAGAACTGTTAACTTGACATCTTTGTTAGAATTGCAAGCGTGAATTAAACCAAACTTTACCAATTATAATATATTGATATGGGTCTATTCAATTATTTATATATATGATTTGTTCACTTAGAGCAAATAGAAACACGCTGTTTATATTATTGCATAAAATGAACGCATACAATTTTTTTTAGTGCGATAAAAGAAAATAAAAAGTAGAAAAGTAAAAAGAAGTCGGGAGATCTGAATTTTTTATTACATAATTTTGCTTTATTTTTTCAATTTTTTTTAATTAAAAACTAGTTTTAATCATTCAATTTTTACCTTACTAAAAATAATGTAAAGCTTGTTTTCTTCTTTCTTTTAAATTAAAAAAATATTTTTATTTTTGTTTTGGTAATGCACTTACAATACGTATACAATCACTATTGCTGTGCAAAACACTCTTAAAACCTACAAGCACCTTCGTTAACGACATAATAATCGTCTGTCCACCCGATCGGACGAAACTAAAAATTGAGTGAAACAAGCATTACCGAACTTTCACAATTCACTTTTTTTCTGCTAAGGACGA